AGCGAGAGAATTTGACAAATTTTTTTCGCAAATTCTTCGCGCGTGTCGTCACGCGCGCAACGCGGTTATTGTAAACGAAAAAAAACCCATCATGACAAAATCCTCTGGCGCTGAGGTTAAACAAACGCTAATGAAAAAATAAGTAAAAAGAAAGACTTTTTTAGGAACCCTTGTTCGATGTAAATATGAAATTGAAACCCCTAGGCACACAATGTTTTTTAGGCTTGTACGAAAAAAAAACAACACTAATAGCCATTACGCGCGAGAAGATTCACGCGGAGTTGAGATGAAAAAAAGAAAACGATAAGTGGGAGAGAAAAATGAAGGGAAACATAAACGACAAATTTTAATCTAGTGATATAAGGGAAAACGAGAAAAATTTTTGGAAGCTTCCGTGGATTAAAGGGCCTTCGAATGTTCCGTCGTGTCGTTAAAGCGGACACTTTGTACAGAAACTCGCGACCGCATTTTTTCGATTTACCAAATTGTTAATTGAAATCAAGATGAAATTTACTCACATTGTAAATATCCGCATAATCTTCGCGCCGCTCTGCGCGAATGACAAAACCAGTATTCGGTACGCCCTGGCAATAATTGTTGACACGATGTATAACGGAATATAATTGCCAAAAGAAATCGAAATCAAACACGACGGAATATCCGTAAGTCATCTGGGGGCTTCGGCTTTAAAATTAAGGATTTATAGGAATTATCAAGAGAAAGAGCGAGATGGAAAAGGCGAGTGTGAGCAATGATGCGTGCGATTGTGTCGATACAAAAGAATAAAATGCGAGAGGATCAATAAATTATTGTGTGTGAAAGAGAGATTGTGTGTGATTGTAACAAAATTTTACTACCAAGTGGACTAGAATCGCAACCGATGGGCATTATTAAATGAACAAAAGAAAATGAAGAAAAAATGATAATGTTTTTCTCGGAGCGTTTTTTCCGAATATTGCGAAATGGAGAGAAAAAAATGCGTCCAAAATTGTACCTATTTTCATTTTATAAATTATATAAATAAATAAATATATATATATATATATATATAGATATACGATGAGCTCCTAGAACGATTAAACTATTATGTGAAGTATATAATGTAAAAGGGTCAAAAAAGAAGATTATTGTATCTATATTCAGGACTGACGCAGATGACGATAATAAATATTGCACCCGAGTGATGATGACGATTATTATTGTATAGTTAAGTCAACGAGAGAGAGAGAGAGAGAGAGAGAGAGAGAGAGAGAGAGAGAGAGAGAGAGAGAGAGAGAGAGAGTAAGAAAGAGTGAGTGAACTAAAAGTCACGTTTAGACGCCAAAAAAATAAAACGTTGTATATCTCGAGGTAAAAAAAACTGTTGTGTCATGCGAAATTTTGTCTTGTACATTTGTGTATGTGTCGGTACAAAAAAAGGCGACTGTCCCCCTTCTTTCGTAATGTAACTCTTTTTGACCGACAAATGAAAAAAGGCGACGAATGTTTGTAAAGGTATGGGCAAAATTTCGATAACGTAATCATTGGTGTACCTTGTTTCTTCTTTTCGTATATAAATATATATATATATATATACATTATAAATAGATATTCATAATTTATATGACGCGAAGCGTTTTCGCCTTGAGATCCGAAAGGAGCCGTGCAATTATGAATCCTTTAGAAGAAAAGACATTTGCTACTCGGTCACTCTCTGAATGCAAGCAAAATTAGCGCGGAAAAAGAAAACTACTATATTCTCGGTGTAACTTGCGAAACAAAAGGATAATCGCGTAATCGCAATCGGCTCCTCGGTAAAGCGGCGTCTCAAAGCGAACGCAGTTGAAAAGCAGAAAAAAGGGACGCAGCGTAATTATAACTCTCTCGGTGTAATTCTTCGATGCCCGAAGGATCCCCGCAAGTTATTTTACTTTTTTTTGTATAAATAAAAACACGAAAATAAAAAATGAAACACACAGATTATAGACTACGAAGTAAAAAGAAAAAAAAGGCGTTACTCACGTAACAAATAATGCGACGCCGATGAACACGATTTAATTGTGAAACCTTTCGTTCTTCATTGTTATATACGAAGATGACACGCGATCCGTATTTTTCACATTGTTCTTACACTCCTCGGTAACGAGCGATTCGCTTAAAGCGTCAGCGCGCAATACGAAGCGACCGTCGGCCATATATAAATAATAATATATATTATCCAACAACTTTGTTCGCGAATGCTGAGAAACTTTTCTATTGATATATGGTGATCGCAACGAGAGTCGTCAAAACCTCGGCTTTTTTAAGATTTTTCGCAACTCTCGTCGCGAGATTCGGAAGGTTGAAAGCTACTGCAAACAACAGTTTTGTTGGAAGTATGAGTATGCGTTAACAACCATCGAGATCCTTGCAAGATGAAGCAACTGCCGGCCGATGGTCGTAGCTGGATCTCGTGTCGCGCGCCTACGACAACGAATCTCGTGACACTTTCTTTTATTTTGTATAATTGTCCCTACCGGACAAAGCGGATGGACAGTTAACAAGAAGAAAAAAAGATAAACACACTTCCATTCCAATTGACCGCATTTTTTATCCCGCCCACGTTCCATCAAGCTCCCTAAAAATTTTCTTCTTATCCTCGTTCCCCATCCTTCATCCCTGATGGCAATTCTTTAATCTACCAGTGTGAATGTATGTTGAAATGAAAAAAACCTCTTAAAAAAGTAAAAAAATTGTGTAAAAGGGAAAGCATCGAGCAAAGAACGACTAAAGCACATATTCGTCGGACCGTAGGGACATTTTGCATTAATTGTGTAAACACGAGAACTTAAGGGAAAAAATAAAAAATGCAGAAGCGAAAACTAACAAAAAAATTAATTCTAACGTTGTTTTAGCAACGTGTCTATTTATTCATCATATCTCGTTATCTATCCCTTTTTTCCTCTCGTCGCATGTTATATATAACCAACTATGAGCATTTTTTATTATGGTTTTCTTTGTCCTTATTTTACGCATGTGAAAATACTTTATGTTTTTCAATTCAACAAGTACATGCTGCAGTTGCATACATGAGTTCATTAAAGTGGCGACGCGTTATTTCTGTGTTCGAGATGCTATGTAATTATGTTATTATTATTTTTAGTTATTATTATTACTATACTATTAGTTTATTATTAATAGAAACCTATACTGTTATTATTTTATCGCTTAAATCTCTCCGATACTCATAATTGTGGTTATACAAAAGACAAACAATGAATAAAAGCATCACTACATTTTATTTTGATTTATTATTGTCCACGCCACATGCGTTTCTCAGTTGTACCCTTCATTCGTTACTTCTTTTGTTGACGAAAAGGGTCTCTGGTGTCAATCTTGATGAAAATGTCTACGCATAATTTCAAGGTGGAGGATAGCACTAAAAATATGTGCTATTATGCTACTCGCTGTCGAGTTCGACACGCTTCGTTTCTCTCTCTCTCTCCTCCCGTCACGTAGCTGCGGCCTGTGCGAACTTAGCGTCGCGATGCTGTCCAACTTTCCGATTGGACACCTGCGAAGGGACCAAACGAAGAGAGGGCAATTCGTTCGCTTTTCGCAAGGCGTCCACCAAACTTTTGTCTCGAGCGAGTCTCCGCCGCGTTCAATCGTATCTTGAGCCATTGCGGCCACTCAAGTAGTTGGTGCCAACTTTTGCTCGCTTTTGCTCACGATGTCTTCCAGGTACCCTACCAACTCCGTGCCCGCGGCTGCATAGGGTGATATCTGCCATTCGGAGGCTCCACTTGTGCCACCTACGGTTTGTGACTGTGGTGGAGCGAGAGCTCCCGTTTCCGAGACGTCCAAGTACTGACGCGTGCGTGCACGGGGGATACCTTCTACGAGCAGGACCTTACGATGCAAGAGCTCTCACTGCCCTATTCGGAAATGCATTCGATTAATTTTTAATATTTTTGTCCTACCTGCGACTTTTTTACGACTTTATTAGCAGTACTTTATGTATATTTCTCGACACTCCGTGTGCGAGGATTCAATTGACGCACGCTGGGAAAAGCAAGCGTGCCTTCAATCTCTTCGTTCGGACGCAAACCTCCGCACGAGTATTAAATCACTTTCTTGCACTAGTATCGAAATGTACTTTTCGCACACGCGCATGAGAATTGGGTATGTTTCTTTTTTTTCAAATTCAAATCATCTTGTCGATTATTATTGAATAAATAATTCCATTTTATTTACACTTTTTCAATGTGTTCAAATTAAACATACAATAAAATACATTACGTTATACAATAAAAATTCATTGATAATGAACATCAACTCTCGTGCTTAACCTTAATTATCATTTATTTGTGTAAATGCAATCGCAACCCCCCTCGTAGTTGGCTTAATTGACGAGTCAATCTATCAACGCAGAGTTATACTTTGGTTTTTTGCCATATCGCTCGGTGACCTATCTCATTGGTATTTCTCAAGACTTAAATTTATCCAGTTATGTTGAAACTTATATCATAGAGATTTATTGTACAGAATAACATTCAATTAGCAATTTTTATAGATACGAGAATTTCTTTGTTAGATCTAATTACTTCAATTGATCAATTAGCATTCAGAGCTAGGATGGAATTGAATTCGTTGGAAAAGAATTGAACGCACTGTTCATTCATACTCCGAACGTTGCTCAGATGAATTAACAATTACAATTATGATTGCAATATACATTTTTAAATAAAAAGAAAAATCACTTTACGCATAGTATTCATTTCAACAAATGATTATAATTTTCATATCCCCCATGAGATTATTTCATAAATTCTTTCATGAAAATATATAATATCGTTATACAGAAATCAATGATTTCATATAATAAATCTATGAAAATATCACGCGATAAAACAAGCTTAAATAGTAGCTCATCGTCAAATCGTAGATTACCGACAAGAGGTGTCGCAACGTCGATGCGCCGACTGTGAACACGCCGCGCGGAAAGTTTACAATTAGTCGGCTGGATAGAGTCAAGAAGATGGGATCACCGAGCGGTATCATGCTGAGGCGACTTACACGAGGAGCTGAAGCGACTTTTACACGGTACTTCGCAACCAAGGCTGCTACTGAACCTAGAAAGACATGTTTATATGATATGCATGTTAATCATCATGGTAATTATAAGCTTTTTATTGTTTTATCTGTATTTTATAATAGCAAAAAAATATTCTCACCATTATATTATTATTTATTATTTGAGAACAATTTTTCAAGTAAAAATATGATTCGAAATTATTTCTAAATAATAAAATCTAATATAATTATGAAACTGTGTTTTGTATCTGTAGCAGCTAGAAACTGGAATATATCACAAGCGTCCAGCTCAAATTGAACTGAAAACATGTGATAACTGGTAGTAGATCAGTAAAAAAACTGAATGACAAAATAGTGGTGTACGTAGTACACTTTAATTTATTATTATTATTACTCATTACTAATAACTTTAATTCGTGCATTTGTTAAAGATTAAATTTCCAATAGATTGTGCGCTTAAGAAGTTTTGCATGTAATACTTGTCAATCAGAGTAAATGGAATATGTTTGATAGAAAATCAATAAATTATCAATAATAAAATGAACATTGACAAATAATTTTTCTAAATAAAATGCAGGAAAAATCGTCGATTTTGCCGGATGGCTTTTACCAGTGCAATACCGTGACGCTATCGCGGCATCTCACCAACACACACGCACCCACGCTTCGCTCTTCGATGTCGGCCACATGTTACAAACGCATGTTACCGGCCGCGATGCAACTGAATTTCTAGAATCGCTCACCACTGTTGATCTGCAAACTCTTGGCCAAGGATGCGCTAGTTTGACTGTGTTTACAAATCAGAATGGTGGTATTCTCGATGATCTCATTATCACGAAAGATCGTACTGATAAGTTTTTCGTTGTGTCCAATGCCGGAAGAAGGAATGAGGATATAAAGCTTATGCTCGATCGACAGGTGAGAGATTGGAGTATCACTCAATCCAATACTTTTTAATTGTTATTGTTTGATTGCGAAAATTAACTTGATCGGTCCCTTTTTTTCTTTTCGTTCGTAAGTACTAAAATTTATTATCTGATATGCTATGTTAATTAAAGTTATCATGTTATACCAGAATGAGATGAAAGCTCAAGGCAAAGAAGTAAATATCCAGTTCTTAGATCCTTTAGAGCAAGGTTTGATTGCGCTGCAAGGACCAAGTGCAGCGACCGCACTTCAATCATTGATTAACATAGATCTAACAAAGTTAAAATTTATGACGAGTGTTGAGACTGTTTTGGACCAGAAACTAGTGAGGATATCCCGATGTGGATACACTGGTGAGGACGGTTTTGAGATTTCAATACCAGGTAAAGATGCTAAAAATATCGCTGAATTAATACTCAGTAAACCCGATGTCAAGCTCGCTGGGCTTGGAGCGAGAGACAGCTTACGGTAATGATCTTATTGATAAATTTGTAAAGTTTGTAGTTTTATAAATATATGAAAATATGATATTGCAATTTTTGTAGGTTGGAAGCTGGATTATGTTTGTATGGCCATGACATCAATGAGGAAACAACGCCAGTTGAAGCAACGTTATTATGGTTAGTTGGTAAGTAAAAAAAGTCGTTTTTAGAGTTTAATAGTGAAAATAATACATGTATCTGAATAAAATGTTGTGTTAGCAAAACGGCGAAGAGCTGAAGCCAACTTCCCAGGTGCCGAGGTTATTCTGAACCAAATAAAAAACGGCGTGAAGAGGAAGCGCGTAGGTTTGACACTTGGTCAAGGACCACCAGCTCGTGAAAACGCTGCAATTCTAACAGCGGAAGGTGAACGAGTTGGTAAAGTTACCTCCGGAGCGCCAAGTCCTAGTCTTGGTAAACCAATCGCTATGGGATATGTTCCAACCGAGTTAGCCAAAACTGGTACCAACGTTTTGGTTGAGATTCGAAACAAGACTTATAAGGCTGTTGTTACGAAAATGCCTTTCATAAAATCAAATTATTATACTGTAAAGTAAAAATGCGAATTCGGTTGCATTTATGCGAGTGTAGTTCAAGAAATATTTTTCAAATTATATACTAAATTATATTTGAATGAAATACTTTTTCATATCTTCTGCCAAAAGAATCTCAAGTATCTATTGCTATGTCGTGGAGCAGAACGATATTTGTCTGTACATAAGAGTTAAATATAATTGTTATAATTAAAATTTTATATCTAACAGAATAGTTTTTATTGAATTAAATAATTGTGCCAATTTTACATAGTAAATTATAAAATAATAATAACATTTATGGAATAGTCGAATTTCTTCATGTTCTTAACATTTTAATGTAAAATTGTTTAGAATGTAAAACTTTATTTTGATATTAAAATATACACAAATAGTTACAGCTGATAAAAAAAAGCAATTTACACCCACACACACACACACACACACACACGCGCGCGCGCGCGCACACGCACACAAGAGCAAAAGAGACTTTCTTTATCACTATTGGGTACGTCTATCAGATAGTTTTTACATTTACAACTAGATGGCGTGTACTGAGTTTACCGATAGAACATATATCAGCACATATATTTCCAGTCACTCCTTGAAATTATAGCAGTAGACATTTGTTTAGCTTCCAAACGAAACAATGGCGGAAGCTATGCAAGAATTAGTTTACTTCGATTTGCGAACGGTTCATGATCATTTCGATCGTGCACTTCTTCAAGAAGATGATATTGATATGAAATATTACCTTGAAGCTTATAACGAACTTTATAAGTAAGTGTCTAACATAACCTTTTCTTCATTGTTTTATTTTTAATATCAACACGGTCACTTTTATTGTTATTTCTTTGTTAGATTTTTCCAGCTGATGGGGAGCGTGTTTAGTTTTGTTTCTTCGGATCTCAAACAAAAAATCGAACATCTACAGTCGTTAATCGAGAAAGATCAGGATAATTACGTGTCTGTCAAACGAATGATCGAGCACGAGAAAGAAAATAAACTATTGCAGAAAAGTGATTTTATTAATGGTGCTAGAACTCTTTTACGACTGCATAGAGGATTAGGTGAGTGTTAATAATCTTTATATTGATTGTCGTGTTCTGCAAAAAAAGTGTACAACAATAAAATTGATTTCGTTACAGACTTCATATCGGAATTTTTACGTCAATTAGGCGAGTTGTCAGACAGCGATAGCACGTCGACGGTTTGCCAAGAAGCGTATAATAAAACGTTAGCCAAACATCATCCGTGGCTTATACGAAAAACAGCTGTTGTTGCTATGTACACAATGCCTAATCGGGGAACATTATTCAAAAAGGTAATTTCCTCTCTATTAAATTTTAACAGCAACGTAAATGCCTTTATTAAATAAGTAGTGAATAATAAACGACGTTCGATCTTATCATTTCAGGTGTGTGGAGAAAACGTTCAAAGAAACATCGATATATTGCCCAAAATGTTAGACGTGACTTCCGACGTCATCTCTAGGACACACACAGTTTATGAGATACACGAATTACATTCGTTGTCGTAAGTTAGATATCCCATTTTAGTTTAATAATGGAGCCTGAAAAGAGATATATATGTTTTAAAGTATTACGACTTTTCATGTACCTAAAAACAATTTAGGATCATTCCATGCATAGTTTTGTTCTTAACATATATTTAAAATATTCTTTGTACACTTATTGTCTGGTATGATTGTTCAAGTGAAAATATTTGTATTAATTAATGTATTGATAAGATGTGCAATTTTCTTATTCTGTGAATTTTAGTGTGTGAAAATATCGAATATAAATTTTTTCATATATGATACAGTTTATAAATATTGTATTGCGCGAACATATAGAAATCACGATATATATTTTTTGTTCGTATATGTGATTATTGTTGGCATTTAAGCGTGATGCATTTGTTGTACCAATATTACATAAGGGTTGTAAAAATGTATACTGCTGTAAGTTTAAATTTTTTAACATTATTTATTGTATAAAATAATTGATTATTCGCGATATAATTCGAGATCACACTTTTTATTATTATATACAAAAATTAACCCTACCTATACAAAATTGAAAAATGAATATGACAAATGAAACAAAACTATACTAATTTTTTCACTGAGTAAAGAAACAATTTTTGAAATATAAGTTGTAAAGTGACTCAGTCTTTTTTTTACAAATTACGAATATGACATCAGTGTTTGATGTATTTCATTTTTTACGATTTTTGTTTTATCAACCGATTGATCATATATTTTGAAATTATTATTATAGTACTTACATTATTTATAATAATATAATTGGTAGATAAACTCAAAATGTTTTGTTTTTCACGAGCAATTTAAGCGTGATGGAAGATAATATAAAATTGTTCAACTTGAAAAGCAATATAGTCTAATTTAAGATACAGTTTCGAAGTAGCTATCGTCCATCAATATTCCTGAAAAATAATGATTAAATTATTTATCAATTAAACATTATTTTGAAACAATCAACTAATAAGCAAAAAACTAACCTGCGATACTTGCTGTCAAAAAGGTAACCATACTTCCAGCGATGAAAGACCTCATAGCAATGTTAGTAATTTGCTCTCTTTTCTCTGGCGCCATAGTACTAAGACCGCCGATCATAATGCCAATTGACCCAGGATTTGAAAATCCACAAATAGCATAAGTTGCTATTGCTTCACTTCTTGCCGACAATCTCTGTTCTTCTTTGAATTGGCCAAGTTTTTGGTAAGCGACAAATTCATTTACTACGGTTTTCAAACCAATAAGTTGACCTACGTCTTCACATTCTGTCCATGGCACACCGATCAACCAGCTCAGTGGCATGAATGCTTTCGAGAGCAACCACTGTTTTACATATTCAAAGATATTCAAATTTTACATTTACATGTTTATAGAGAAAAACTTGAATACTAAGAATAAGTATGTACTGACCTCGAATGTTATGAAATCATATCCAATCAGTTCACCGAGCCAGGAAAGTATGGCATTTATGAAAGCCACAGCGGAAACAAAAGCAATGATGTTAGCAATTATTCCTAAAATAAGTGGGATTCCTGCAAGTGCACCCTTGGTCGCTGCATCAATTACGCTTGTGTCTTGTCTAAAAATGGAAACAGTATTGCTATCTTTGCTAAATATATTTTACAAATTTTATGAAAGAAATGGTACTAACGATTTTTCCAAAACGATATTTTCGAAAGTTGTGACGCTTTTTTCAGTCTCCGGGTAAAAAAGTTTAGAGAAACATAAAGCTGCAGGAGCTGACATTACTGTCGCTGTTATTAGATGTGTAGGATTAGCTCCAAATTTGATATATGCTGCCAATACCGTACCTAACATATACAATATATTTTAATTTTTTGTTTGCAAATTGAATAGCACAAAATATTTTTGTTAAATTACCAGAAACTGTAGCAAACCCTGAACACATTATTGCATGAATTTCCGAGTTAGTTAATTTGTTGAGATAAGGCTTGATCAATAATGGAGATTCAGTCTAAAAGATTTAATTTTTCATTTATGATGCATATGAATCTTCTTAGATAAACATAATAGCAAACGTTTATACCATTCCAAGGAATGTGTTAGCTGCTGAATTGATCGACTCGCAAACAGTAGTACCCATTATCGAGTGTAAAATCCATCCAATATTTCGTATTACCGATTGCATCACTCCCCAATAGTATAATACTTGTATCATAAAACTAAAGAAGAATATAACGGGAAGTGCCTGAGATAATAAGATCGTTAAGTCTATGTAATAGCGTTATTACTACTTTGAATGAAGAAACTTACAGAAAAAGCAAATACTCCGTTATCCACGAGTTCATTAGAGAATACGAACTTAGCACCTGCTTGTGCAAAATTTAGAAAAGTTGCCACTTTATTTGAAAGACATTGAAAAATACTTCGACCAACAGCCCATCTGATAGTAAAGAGTCCAAATGAAAATTGAAGAATTAAACCCCATATTACTGGTCTCCAATTGATCTGTGAAAAGAAGAATGGTGAATTAAAACTAATGTACGAACAAATAATTGACGTGAATATTTCAAAGTAGATTATTTTACAGCGACAATAACAATAGTAATTTGAACTTTGAAACGAATAATTAGCTTACTCTGGTGGGATGTTTCGAAAATACCCATCCAAATGCTAAGATAGCAGCGACACCAGTAAAACTTATCAATCGGTTCCTCGATTGCACGGTATCAAGGATCAAGAAAATCGCAATGCCGACCAATACAGTCAAGCAGAATACTGTCTTTATACTACGGACAAAACATCTGAAGAGTAATTTTCAATTTAGTAGCTAATGATCTCGTTATATTTTATAATCTTATCTATTTTATCTTTTCAAAAACTACGTCTTACCCTCTCTGTTTACAACTTGCAAAGTGACTCTCACAAGGTAAAAAACATGTTATTATCAGCTTGCTCAAACATTTCTTAAAAACCTTTTGATAGAGAATACCAAAATATGAAAATCCTACTATCAAAATTAGCATTCCATAGCCATCACACCATCCGAAATCCTCAGTTTCTGAATAAATAATAGTATTATAACAGAATATCCTTTTTAGATAATAAACCATCTTCTGCTTATTATCAAAATATTCAATCAAAAAGACTAAATACTTACTGTGATTAATCCAGTAAATGCTAGCAAATACAAAATAAGTAATGATTATGAGATTCAAGATTGCTATTCGAACATATCTGAAAAATGTTCCATTTTCATCAATAAAAGCTCGCAAATAATTTACAGATCTCTTATCACTTTCGTTATTCTGAAATGAATGGAAATATTGTTTTATTAAACTTCAAGTTTTCCGTTTGCGATAAAACATATCTATATGTCAAACAACTTTATCGTCAGTTTAATGATGAAGACATAAATGGTTTTTATTTGTTTGTTTCCAATCAAAATAATTTAATAGATAATAGATAAAAAAATTTCATTGAGTTTACCTTAATGAGATATAGTAAATATTTTTCGGACATACCGGTTCTTTCGATGGACGATCTTCAGATTCTACAGATTCATCATCCTAAAATATATTATTTGATGAAATTGAGTAACCAAATAAATGTATGAAAATTATACCGATATTCAAGTAAAAATGTTACATTAATGAATTATTTGTCCCAATTATTTAAAAAATTTCACCATAAATAAATTAATAAAAATGTACTTTTATGTACAAAATAATTAATATATATAAATATGACTATTTTACCTCGAGCTTAATCGAAATGTTAAGGCTATGTCGACTAAGTTTCCTTCCCACCTATAAAATAAAATAGTAACTAACATAAACACGAAATAAACACGCTATTAAAAAATACGAAGAATTTGAATGATTCAAATGTCAGCTATATACGTTACTTTTTAAAATTGATGTATCATCATATAATTACTTTTCAATAAAATTTATGCTAGCGATAAATTACTATTTTTAATAAAAAATATACCATGTAATATTTCATGAGATACGTTAAATATAAAAACACTGATTATTAGGCGTAAAAAACATTTCGAAAACATAAGCTTTACTTTGATGTTACTAAAATCTTTTATGTGTGAACAATAAGTTTTTATCGTACACATAATTTTTTTATCCGCAATAACATGGTGCGAATATCAGCGTAAATCAATTTTTACGCTATGTTACTGTGTACAGTAATCAAAAAAATATTGCAAGATTATCAATTCTGTAAATATCAAAACAAAGTATACATATATTAATATAAATTTTCTTATAACTTTTACTGATCTTTGCTTATGCAAAAAATCATTAACGAAGATAAGTCGTATACTTTCGCAAAGCCAATATAAGGAAAAGAACCTAATAACTTAATGAGAAAACCAACCTCGTTAAATGCCTGATTAGTTATACCTTCAGTCATGACTCTCGACAAACAAATTACACATAAAACTGTTGAAATTCAAAATTTTGTTCTTCGTTTAATGACATCAATTTTTCCCATACAATTTAAACAAGCAATAGTTAACATGTACAAAGTTGAAGTTCTTGCAAGGCTAATCCAAAAAAATACTGAATTATAGTCTATCAACAATGTGGTTCACAACACGTTATTAAAATCGATCTTCTTATAATGCCATCAACACCTTCCACGACGTTACTTGAGTTGGAATGATAAACGGAATATGCCGGCAGTAAGAAAACAAAGAGCATCGTAACTCCGTGCAGATATCTGAGATAACCAAGCACAACTGACTCAGGAGGCTTGTGCGAGTAAATTATCTGTGTCACTCTCCTAAAGCGCACTTTTTTATTATTACTGTCGCGTAAATAAAATGACGCCGTTGCAACTTAAAGTAACAGTAATTTTTTATGATTTTTCTATTTAGCATTGAGTTTCAAATTATTTGTTGTCATTTAGTTCGTAACCAATGTCTTATTTAAGTTTGTATAGTAATCAGATTTTTCATCAATACAAAAATTTCTATTGTATTTATTAAAAACAATTATAATACGTTATAATAAAACCATTTCTTATATTAGATGCAGAAATACTTTGATTTCAAATCATGTTGAAATATTTTTCAAAATAATATATCCTGATTGATTAAATAGGACAGAGTTTTGACTTGTTGAGTCAATCAATCGAGATCATCAATAATAACTTTTAAATTACACTTCGCTGTAGGATTAAAATAACTTAGATGAAACTCTTCAAAATATAACTAACGTAAAATTTTATGAAGTCTAAAAAAGAAAAGAAAGTAATTTTACGAATTTCAAATTTGTTCACAATTTAATCAATTTTAATTTTTTCAATATAATGTATTATGCAGGCGTATTTTTAGAATTGTGTACATAATTCTACGATATACTTCTAAAGTACTTGTGTTTTTATGAAACTACGCACAATATCCTTTTCATCCATTCTCTACATAAAAAATCTTTATGAAAGTTCAACTGTTTTTTGTGAACTAATTATCGCCAGTTAGTTTTATTCAAATATTTTTTAACAACTGATTTCGAAATTCTATTTTGATACATTTTTATCCATTTCGCCTTTATTTGCCGACTAAAACTATCTTTAATGGATCACCATTAAAATTGAAAGCATTTACGCATGTGTTTGAAAAATTGAAACGCACAACACGGAATGGATCAAGAAGTCTAAATGTGTGATTCTATTAGCCTTGTATGATACTACTAAAATTATACATTGGTAGCAATAAGAATTTTTTAATTAACGCTGTAACTGTTTGAGAAATATTTTTGAAGTTGACCTTGCGGTTGACAAAGATATGAACCATGCTATAAATTCATAACTATACTTCATTTTTCAAAGATGTATATATCAATCCTCTCAATCAATGTATTTAGCAATGTATTGATCAACGGAACCATCGAACAAATTTGTAATATATATTTTTACGAATGTCAAAGAGCCCATGAAGTTCAAGATAGTGATAAATATATTAATGTATTCACTCAATTACAAAAATGATTTTATTTTACAATATGATAAATCAGTTACAAGTCAAGATGATCAGAAAAAGATAAACTTTAGATTTATATGTAAACGATGCATTTTTTCTTAATGTCATCTTTAATGTTTTAAACTGACGTATTGAAATAATGGACCATGGGATTCAAAAGTCTCTTCATCAGTTAATATTCCTAGAACAAAGTAATGAACGATAAATAAATTTCAAATTTTATACATAAGTCATGATTACAAAACCATTATAAATGTATATTTATACATAGGCTAAGGATTTCTATTATATTTCAATCCAATAATACTCAAACTTAAGTGAACGGTAAAAAGTACTTATAGGAATAACAGTACCAACTAAAATTTAATAAACATTATACTTGTGAAACAAGAGCATAAGTAAATTGTTTTAATTCAAGATAAGCGTTGCTACTAATTGAACAGTTCAGTAACACATTTTCTTGAATGTATCTTAACTGGAATATATCTTCGACTGATGAATCTAAATTCGATTTAACAACGCACAGATTAATTGGAGTGTATAAAGATCAATTTAATATCATTCTTATACATTAATATCTATTCAGAATATCAACTACAATAACACTTTTTAAAATAAAAAAATGATAAAAGGGTATTATTTCTTAGAATTACTTATTTCGACCTTACCGGCTATACTAGCAGTGAGGAAACAAACTGCACATCCGCCAATAAAAGCTCGGAATACAGAACCCAAGATATCTTTTCTTTTGTTTGGCGCCATAGTAGACAAACTGCTAATCATGATTCCGAGCGAAGATGGGTTTGCAAATCCACATATTGCATAGGTCGCAATTGCTTCGGCTTTGGTCCTCAATCTACCTTCACTTTTAAATTGGCCAAGTTTTTGATAAGCAACAAATTCATTTACAATGGTTTTTAGTCCAATTAGAGTTCCAACAGCTTCGCATTCTTCCCACGGTACACCCATGACGTAACTCAATGGAATAAATGTTTTTGCCAATATTAACTGAAAAGAATATAATGAACAGATTTTTACATTTTATTGGATAATAGATTACGTTTTTCAAATTAAAATCTTGAAAAAATTGGTAAGGATTGACAGATTTTCATTTTCAATAATAAGTCACAGCGTAACTGAGTTACGTTACATTTTATTGTAATTTACCTCGAAAGTTAATTCAGGATATCCGACAAGTGTACCCAACCAAGCGAGAACAGAATTTAAAAATGCTACAGCGGAGACAAATACTACAATGTTAGCAACAATACCTAACACTAACGGAATTGCAGATAATGCTCCTTTCGTGGCAGCATCTAGAAGACTTTTTTCTTCTCTAAAATTGTATGGTTATTATTTGTTGCAATATATTAACATATTTCAATAGTAAATCGCTTTCGTATACCTCTATATGTGCGTGCGCGCGCGCGTGTGCGTTTGTTTTTCGAATAAAAATTTGGATTACTTACGATTTTTTCAAAACTATATTCTTGAAATGAGTAGAGCTTTCTTCTCTTTCTGGATATAACAATTTGGCAAAACATAGTCCCGCTGGAGCTGACATAACGGTGGCAGTTATTAAATGTACTGGCTGAGCACCAAAGGATATATATGCAGCCATTACCGTTCCTATGAAGATACAATTGTGTACAATTGCGAGTGTTATGCTTTCAAAAAGACTATAAAAAATTATTACCAGATGTAGTGGCAAAACAAGAACACATGATTGCGTGCATCTCCGAACCTGTAAGCTTGTTTAAATATGGCTCGATGACAAGGAATGATTCCGGCTGAAAATATAATTATTAATATTAATCTTCTGATCCGGTGAAAATGGCTATTTTATAATATTTTAAATATACCATTCCTAAAAATAAAGTCGTTGCAGCATGTATAGATTCACAAACTGTTGTACCCATGACTGCATGTAAAATCCACCCAACAGTTTTAATAATACGCTGCATAATACCTAAATAGTATAAAATTTTTACGACAAAACTAAAAAAAAATAAAACCGGCAAAACCTGTAAAGTATTATCAAAAAGTACTTCATTATCAAATGTATTACCCGGTGATGTTTTACTTATGATCAGTTTGGCAATAATCGACTAACGGTAAAAGCAAAGTTATCTCTTCTAACCAGATCGTCTGAGAACATGAATATAGCGCCATCTTTTGCAAAATCGAGAAATGTGGCAATTTTTAAAGAAAGACATTGGAAAACAGATCTACCGAAAGGCCATCTAATAGAGAGAAGACCAAAAATAAATTGAATTATAAGACCCCAAGTAATTGTCCTCCAATTAATCTGCAAAGTCAAATGAACATTTATTAAAATGTAAGGACACTCTTTTATAATTATATATATATAATTATCGGTTATGTTCTCATTACCCAAAATTATATAACAATATATGTTCAAAAAATAAAGAAAATGGCTTTTAAAAATTGATTAAAAATTGATAAGCCTATTTTTAATTGATTTTACTAATACTCACTTCAGTAGGATGATTCGAAAATATACAACCAATAGCCAACATCAGAAAAACTCCACAGCAACCTACTAATCTGCTTCTCGAATCACTAGTGTCGATAATTAAAAATATAACAATTGCAAATACAATTGCAGAACAGAGGGCAATTTCTCCTGTAAAACTAAAAATATACCATCAAATTAAAATGCCTTATTAAAATGAAAAAAGAAAATTTTATCTCACGAGTATTTTCTCCATGACCGATGACAATGTAATAATCGATACAATGGTTTCAAAAATAGACTTTTAAGTACCGATCGATACAATATACTACCATAAGTAAAAAAATAAATTAAAACTAATATTCCATATCCATTGCACCATTCGATTTCGTCATTACCTTCTAAAATTTGCAAAAATTACTTCAATTCGTAACCTCTAAATATAACAATACAATATTACTCACTATCGGTTAACCAAAAGATTGTGGCAGATATGAAAAATATCCAAGCTAAAAGATGCAAAACAGCCAAACAGAATAGATAAATTGCAATGTGATGTTGTTTAGTAAAACGCTGTACCATATTTTCTTCATTTATCTCTGTTAAATTATCATTCAGATCTGTTTTCTGAAAAATTTGTATTCATAAATATATTTCATATACAAATTATATCGTCAAATATAAAGAATATCAGGAAATGTATACACTGCAAATATTAAATTAATGTACAAAAATTTGCGCCTGACTTTCGTAATTTAGATTTTTAAAAGCATTTTTAATAAAAATTGAATGTTTATGCTTTATACTTTTTTAATTACACTGAAATCCATATTTACGTATACATTATATTTATAATTTCCATGTTTTAATATTATTTGTCGAATGATAAAAACTATTATTCAAAAGTATAGGGTCTCCGGGACCATAAATTCTCGCTGTCGTCTTGGAAAAGTCGAGAAGAAATTTATGAATGTTTTTCGGAGCTCCATCCGATCTTTTTATGATCAGATTGTTGACCTCCTTACAGTTTTCATAGATTATCACGATAATATTTTTGTGAAATTAACTCATCTTATCTCGAATATAGCTGGATAAGTCTATTTCTATATTATTTTTGTTAAAATCGACATACTAAAGCAAATGTCAGGAGTGCAATTTCTAGTATTATATAATTGTATAATATTATGTATTGGAATCTGAATTATTCATTACTTCGCTGTAAGTAATATTATACCGGTCTTCAGTTATTCTTGTAATTTATATTCCAATGAATGTTAAAATTTTACATGTTTTCTAACTATAACAATAATAAATCAGTAAAACTACTTCGTGATTGATAAAATTAATAGAATATCCATTATTTGCTCACGAAAAAATATATTTTATCTTTGAACCTATTGGCGTTTTATCACTGAGCCTAGTTATGATCAGAGAGTACTTTAAAACAATGTATTACAAACAAATAACTAACTTAAAACAAATAACTAACTTATTTTCTTAAAAGTTTTATAAGAAACTTATAACTATCTTGAAACATTGTACAAGAAATTTTTACTCATACTATAAATAATTGTAATTACTTCATTAAAAAGAAAAAATTTCATTATAATTTCATAAAATATCACATTATTATAATATTTATTTATTTTCGATATAACATTTTTTTTTATTTTACATTTTACGAATTAGAAAAACATTTTTGATAACGTAACAGATAATTTTCTGTAGTACCTTTATTAGTCAGTGTTGTTATAACTATTGTATACTTTAACTCATTGAAACATAATTCATTATAATTCATTATAAGAATAATTTTGAAACGATTTATTCAATACTTAGTTATTTTAATGTAAAGTGTTAATAAATTGTTGTACGCTTCAAACATTGATTTTTATCAGTGATGAACAGTTTTATATATTTATTCGTGATTTTCAATTTTTAAAAAGAACTCACTTTCAATATTGCATTTATGATGAAATACAATTCTAACTATTTAATGTTTTATTAACTTTTAATATTATTATCAAAAACACCACTACTATAAATATTTTACTGAAGAAATTATCTGTAATAATTTGATTAAAACCGCACCTATAGATTAATTTCATAAAATGAATTTCTTTATAGAGTACAATAATCGAATCTATCTTGCAAGACTTTGACTTAAGCACTGATCAGATCCTTTGACTTATTGGTATAAAAGATATCGTTATCAGATATTTTATCTGCAATGATATAAATACTGTAATACATAGAATCAGATGTTTTTAACAGTTTTTAACTTTTATTTAATTAATAATTATTTACCACCAAAAAATATTTACACTTATATAGGTTAATTTGAATGATCAAGATTGATAAGTCCACCGTTCGATACAATTTGGAAATCTATCGCTCGGTATTCGTAAGCGCCGAAAAAATTAGCATTGTTTATTACGTTCACTTTCAATATTTATTGTTTTCTTGGAAATCAGTCCGATCCTGACATGCCCAGAGTATAATGTGACGAAACGCGCATAATTATTTGTCTACCCACACAAATCTGTAAGGGAAATAGTTCACAGATTGCCTTTAAGATAAATGCTTTTGTGCTGACGTAAGCTAGTTTCATTGAGTTCTTAAACTCTTGAAGCTAGTGTTTGCCGTTTATCTCTTTTGAAAATCTACAACTTCAATTGCGCAGAAAAGTAACCTGTCGGAAGCTAAAAGGTTTTTATTACAGCTCGCTATCAGAACATAATTTTAATTTTTATTATATTTAGATCTTTTTTAATAATATTAAGAGTCATTCGTGTTTTTTATTCAAAAGCTATTAATGTTTCACGTATAAACACTACATTTGTTCAAAAATGTTTCCAGCAGTAACAGAATAAAAGATAAAAAATCTTGTCATCTCCTGAAATAGTTTCCTAACCCTTTTAATTTTTTTTAAAATAATGTCTTGATAAATTTTAAATAATATTTGGTATTCCTAAAAATTGACAGAGCTTTATTTTATGAAAATATATTTTAAATACTGTGTTGTTTGTTCTTTCAATAAATGATATAAGTAAAATATTTCTGCTAAATTCCGAATAGAATTTTTATACTAAAAATTTTATCCGAGAGAAAAAAACACGTACAAACTAAAATATAGCGATAGTCTTTCAACTTATATTGCTCTTAGGAAAGTTAAAACTGGCGTCTCATCTGCCAGACACTTCCGTACATCGAGCCCCTCCCCCTTTTAACATCAGGACCCATCGACGTCTAGACGTTCCAAGAGTCCTTGGTCCAGTCGATAAAACATAAGACTAACCACGTGCAGATGCGAAAATTCACGCAGCCCCAGCTTGAGGGCAACGACAGAATGAGAGATTGCGGGAGAATGTAAGAAAGCAAGATGCTGAACACGTAGATCAACACGATTCACTTTCACGCGTACCGATTTTAACATAAAAAAATTCGATTCGAGGAAGGTACTAATTTTGATGATCGCTGATAAAAATATACTGATGCGAAAATGTATTCTAGGTAGGTAAAAACGTAAATGCGGCACGTGGTTCTCGGAGAATCGCATTGTCCTTACTAAACTGCGCATAATGTCGATATTTACCAGGAAAGCGAACTTCAACAACGAAGAAGTATAAGGTATATTAGGAAACAAACTGAATGTGACCTTCTATTTTATTTTGCTGTTTCACGTGTTCACAAATATACGTATACTCTTTTCGGGCTTTATTTTTAATAAGGAATTAGGAATACGGATATTCAAATTAAATTACGTATTTGCATATTATTTGTAATAAAATATCAGTATCACCTTACCATCTATAGACTTATTTCGTCGTCAATTAGTTAATAAAATGATTCTTAAACTATTATTTTTATTTTTGAAAAATAATTACACTATCATAAAATAATTTTAAAAAAGGAAATTTTAATGACATTTACTACATTAAGATTTTTTCATGTAACTAACGGAAATTTTGATTATTACGTTATATCTAAAAGGAACAATTGAAAAATGTAACTATAACTATAAAACATAAAACAATTACATTTCTATGTCATAAGAAATTTAATAGAGCACGAAAATCCAACACGTGGATGGAAAGACCTATAGGTATACAAAGCTATACCTAACCTAAGTTCTTGGCTTCTCATATACTTTTTTGCTTTTGGTCACTAGATTTTCTGATAATTATTATTCACGATATCGCATGGCCATATATAATCCTAGAGACAGATATGAATATTTGCGACGCGGCGTATGCATTTCCTTAAATCATCTATTCATGTTCGTTCTTCGAACACACACACACACACAATGATTTTATAAACGACGGTAACATTAAAATAATAATTACTAGTTTTATCAAAATAAATGTAAATTCTTTATTACATTGTGTAACTAGTTTTACACATCCTTTCAAATCACTAGCTACAACATACTTTTATATTTTGTGATAATTAACTTTAATTTTAAATAATAAAATATAATAAATAAGTGATCAAACCATTAGGTACTAATGTATTTATAGAAATACTTGATAGCATCACATAGAATACCATTTCTATAACATCTCACAAAGTTAGAAGAATTTGTTTATTCGAAAGGAATTAAATTTTATAAAATCATACAATTATATACTAAATCAAATTGATTCGAATATGTAACCAATATCAATGTTTAGAAACAATTGCGTTAAGGATGAACATCTTTCTTTTAACTAATCACTCGGTCGAATACATAACATAAAATACGTAATTAGATAAAATATTATTCGACAACCTTTTAGGCGTAAAATGTTATCGTAAGCGAGTTACAAAGTAATTTTAATTTTACTCAGCATTCCCAACTTCATGTCGCACTTTCAAGAAGACATATACCCTAAAACGAACATTTTAAAAGGCATTCTAAAAACACCTCGAAGAAGAAGAATATATAAGGCAATTTAAGCTTCAATTACACAAGAATCGCGTGCGCGTTGAGAGTCATCGTATATAAAACCACGTGAGTCGAGACAGCGCGCGAAACCATGCTGCGACATAGCGGTGGGCTTCGATAAACGTGAGAAAAGTCGAACGCGAAGAAGGAAATTATACGGGAAAGAATTGGATGCGAAATCTGACATTTTTGTTTATGTCTAGACGTCATTTCGGCGAAATTAGAAAGAAAAATATATTAGAGGCCGGACGTTATTGCGAAAAGAGTATGCGATTTTGTTTTTCAATGTGACTTTGATTTTATCTCAAATTAGTTGAAATTGTTTATCACAGGTGGTGACTCGAAACATCGCATCGTATTTGAAAGAAATGAATCTATGGGTCAAAAAATTAATTTTCAACGATTAATTTATATTTTATATAAGTGTTTTGGTTTTTCATTTTTATGTAATATCTACTATGTCAAGAATAGCTGTTTCATTCAATCAAAAACATGTAAAATATTTTCTGAAAATTCAGAAGAATTATCATTTAACCAATTAATTAATTAAAATATGTTTTCCAAGACAAACAGTAGTGGGTATACATAAGAATCTCAAATAACCGGAGCTATGACAACTTTTTAACGCTTCAGACTGATCGAAAGCCGCCGGCTAACCGCGAAAAGGGAAAAAAAGCTGGTGTGGTGGTCGTTCGCGAGATCGAGGTGCTCCACGGGGGGATCTAAAGCCTGTGCGAGAAGAACTTAACTCACTTCTCCTTCTTTCCATCACCGTGAGCCGTGCAGCAACAGCAGCATGCGATACACCTTTAGTAGAGAGAGAGAGAGAGAGAGAGAGAGAGAGAGGGAGAGAGAGAGAGAGAGAGAGGCGTGCGCGCATGACGTATTTAGTCTGGCAGAGGCGAGATTTTGCGGTTCGATATATTTATAAACGCGGCAGCTGTCTCTTTTTCGTCCAAAGGAACGGAGAAAGAGCATACATATATGCGTCAGTTCGTCGCGACGCGGTTTTGCGGGCCACAAGGGGGAGAAAGAGAGACACACCGAGAGAGAAGAAGCTTTATAACCCCGTTTAAAATCCTCGCTACCTCGTAATTCTGGTTTACGATCGGCGACCTAAAACGTCGACAAGCACGATGTATCGAATAATATTTATCGGCTAAAAAGAGGGCGACGACGATGCCTCCAAGAGCTACGTTTATCGACCGATTGTTTAATTAAGACTCTGATTGCTCCGGCTGCTGCTCCCTCATTCGGTAGGGCTACGTCGTTTTGATGCACATTCAGAGGCAGACAAAAATAACGACTTGATTCCTTACAGAGTTTATCAAATGTAAACAATGATTTCAAATACAAAAATGGTATATAAGACGAACGAGAATAGAAATAAGCTTTTCATATATACACATCTTTGTATTAAAAATTATCGTGTGAATTAATTATTTTAAATGAAAATATAGCTCTAGATAAAAATATCTTTCGAGTTATTTGTATGTAGCATGTCGATGTAAATTAAATATTTTTAATGTACATTAGTCTCGGTGCCCTTACCTATTAACACATTTCTTATAATTTCTTCAATTTTACAATGAACTGTTATAATTAACTTTGAGGTAAGGTAAAAAAACACTGACTGTCTGGAAATATTCGCGTAATCTTGTGAATTATGATCAAATTTAACAACAAACTAAAAAGATCATCATTTATTTTAATGGTAATTACACGCGGCAGAACTCTTCTTGCTTCTTAATTTCCAGCTTTCAAACACAAGAACAAGATTCCAATTATGTCAGACAGTATATTCGATTCAATTTGATCAAACTTAATCGATTTATACGATTGTCATCTTGAAGTAGCTTGATATAATTCTTTAATGCTCCCACATAACTTATCTTAAAACATAAATAACTTTAAATAATTTCAAAGATGAAAAATAGCTGAAAAAACGTATTTATCCCGCCATATAATTACGTGGTACCTACACTTTTATTATTTTTTTATTATTGAAAGCATTCTATTGTAATATAACAATTTTGTTATTTGAGAAAATGCTTTTAACCGATTTTATTTATTTTTAATGATTATTTTTTTAAAACTTTAAAAAAATGAGTTTGTTGACTAAATATTTAACACAAGTTCAAATGTAGATTATAAAAAATAAAATGAGCTTTCATGAAAATTTGTTTATTCGTTCTGTGCTCTAAAATAGTGGACAGCATCTTCTTTTTGTTATTTTATGAGGTGTTATATAAACAAAAACTTTGTGATTTGATATTAAAGTTTCAGAGCTTAAAACAACGAAAATTACAATTTTGTGAATAAACAAAGGTTCGTAGTGTTTAATGATGGATACTTACTTGTTCTCCTTACTTAATTACAAAATTATATTTTAAAAAATGCTAGAAATTATTTTTAACATTACTCAAATACATAACGACTTTTTAAAGTAATTTAGTTTCTGGAACGTAAAAAATAAATAAGTATCAATTCATTTCCAATACAAAAATGTTTTAATGAATCAGAGTTCCTGTGTCATTACTGTCATTTATTAACTTTCATACTATACAACACTGGAGAAACATTTATTACTCCATGTATGCATGTAACATATAGGTACCAGCCTTGTCGCTGGTAACCCGGAAAAAGGCATCGATGAGCGCAATATATAGAATAGAATCGCGCGTCTGGGCTAGGTCAGCGTCACTTTACTGGACTCTCGCCAGGCGCTCGACCGAATTTCTCCCCACTTTCTCAGGGGGCAACTCGACTCGCGGAAGTTGGCGTGCACGACGGAAACGTTAAACCTTGACGGCTAGTGGTGGAGGCGGCACGGCAAGGCAGCTGCAGTGAAAAATTAAGAAAGCCCTCAAAGCTTCATTTATCTCGTTTCTCTATCTCTTCTCGCCCATCACTAACATCTTCGCAGATATACAGCAAGCCAGCAACTATTCTTGTATTGTTCTTATATCTTTGCGCTTTTTCGTCATCTGCCGCGCTCTTCCTCTTCGTGTCCATTTTTAACGGCTTATCTGCGCCACGGCGAGCCACACGACGAGCCTGGTATCTTTTTATGCCTTTAGCATACTTTTTCATCAATGGCTTGTTAATTTTCAAATCAAATTCATATACGTCTTTTCAAACAACGATTTCAAACGAGTTTGCTCTGTTGCAGCTGATTAAGATCAATCATCATTGACTATGTCAATAAAAAATGAATTGGTTAGCTTTTACTTTTAAGTCGATACTAATTTCGATATTAATTAAAAACCATCATGTCATTGTGACACCTAATAAATTTAACCTCGCCTATCAAAATAGTATGAAAATAATTTTAGAAATGACGCTTACGTAATAATGAAAATGATAACGTACGTGGTAACTGGGAGTGATTGAAGGCTCAAGGAAAACTCATTCGCCTTAACGAGTTGGTCAGTATCAGCAATGCACTTTTTAACTTGTGCAGTGAGACGCACACGAGAAGCCAAAAATTCTTCTGGTAGGCAAAGCACACTGGGCAACACGCACAATCTCAGCACGAGCCTGTCTGCGGCGTATCATCATCATCAGTAGCAACGGCAGTAGTAGCAGCTCAGCATCATCAGCATCAGAGTATAGCGTTCACTTCATCTCCATTTTCTCCAGCCGTTATCTCGCTCTCTTTTTACGTCTCAGCTCCTCCTCCTTTCTCATCCGGAATTACGCGCGCGCACGCCAGCAGAAATGTCCATCGCACGCGATACCCGGAAAGGTGTCTCTTATTTTTTAATTCTTTTCCACGGCCAGTAGCCAACGGAGAGAGGCCCGCCCTCTTTTATATGCAACGCGCCTTCGCTCTTTCTTTCCTTCTCTCGAGATTTATTTTGCTCTTACTTTGTGTTTTTATGTGCGTACGCGCCTGCAGCAGAGCTGCTAAGTCCCTCGCCCCCTCTCTCCTCACTCTCTTTCTCTCGATCAGCCAGCGATTAATTAGCCCTTGGGCCATCTCTGCACACGCTTCTCCTTTCTTTCTTTTTTTTTCGTATTTTGACAGACGCACCATTTGCGTAAGATGCAGCACAGTAGCCTCGAGCTCCATCGGCGAGATGCTGTCTGAGATACGAGGCGACCACGTCATTTGAGGTAGACCGTCACGCGAGCCTCGTTTTTTACGATCAACAACAGCGTCCAGCCGGGAGCATACTGGTTTTTTTTCAAGTGCAAGAAAAATCATTAGAACGGTAGCACGATCACTTTTTTTTCTCGATTATGTTTGTAAAGAGTCATAAATCAGAATTTGACACGCTTTTTGAATTATCTTCAAAATAATATTCTCTAATTTATGCACATTCACATTTTATTGGGAATTTGATGTAATAATTCAATTGTCCGTCTTACAGTTGATATTGAACAGAAAAATTTGTTCCAGCAAAGCTATGAAAAATTGTAACAATAATTATGATTATAAAAGGGACTTGTTTTAATTGTTAAATATTTTTTTATAGGGTTACCAAATATTTCAGAGTTTTAGTTCAATTTGAATGAATAATTAATATAATGTGAATAAGTGGTTCTCTTTTGCAGATGATAGATGGAGTATCATCCTAGCAATCGAAAGTTGCAGTCATCAGCTATTGATTATACCGAGTTTGTACGATACTTACTGAAATGATGTAATGATGTAAGCGTTAATTAATCTGTTAAATTGAAGTCGGTGAATTGATAAAACGTGAAGGACTCGCGCGGTTGATGATATATATGTACTGAAATTATCAATGCAAAGTTGGAAGAGAGCGTATATCGCATTAGTAATTATGAATAAAGCACGCAGGGTAAAAAAAGGTATGTTCCGTAGCTATTAAGACATCAAGAAATTTAGCAAAAGACCGCAGGTGAATTCAACGAAACACGCAATAGGCATCCTCATGTCGCGCACGGGCGCGCGCCCCGCGTGAATGATTTGCGGCGCGCGACTCCTTTCCCAGGAATGAGCCTCGATCGTCTGGGCGTCTGGACGGCGTCTGCGAGCGTATAGTTCCATGAAATCCGACGTCGCTCAGGTATGTAACTCGCTCTTGTTTTTCATTTACCGCGTGGATCATAATTGCACCAACCTTCGACCTTTGCCCACTGGAATTTTCTGCTTTGGATATACACGTATAATCTCTGGTCGTTGTCGACGATTCGCGCGCGTGAATGAAAGAGAAGGAAACTGCGACTCACTCACTCTCTTTTCTTCGCCGCGATGTGTTTTTGTGGAATTGGCTTTGTTGATGCGATATGAGACAGATGCACCGGATGATCTGCTACCGCAAAATCTCGGTTTCTTGTTGTTTTCTTGATTTTTAACTCTTCAGCCATTGTATCAACGCTTTGTTTGCGTTTCGAGAGTTTCAATGGCGAAGAATGTAGGTTTTCGTGACTATGAAAAAAGACGACTTCTTCGGTAGAATGACGAATAGGTACGTATTGTTCTTTCGGACTCTTCGCGGTTTATTTCTCGGGCAATTCAGTGAGAAAATTATAACTCAGTCAAGTTTGTTTTTTTATTTTATCACTGTCAATTCGCTTTATTAATATCATTTTTCAAATTTTTCCTACAATTTAATAAAAGAGGTGGTATTTAATAAAATTAATTACTTAACATAAGGAATAAAGCCATTTTAAGTTTTTAGAGAACCTTAAAATAGCTCAAAACGCAATAGCTTCACCAAACCTTTTATCTAGTCAATTACCTTTCACAAAAAGACATTCTTTTAAACACGCGAAAACGTCAAAATAAATAACTTTCCATACTTAGGTTAATCATCATTTTTTAATTATTATTTCATTTTTATTTTTGAAATTTGTAAATAGCAATAACCATTAATTGCTATTTGCAAATTTTAAAGAACAAATTTTACGTACTTGTTTTAAGTATTCACTCAAAATAACTCAATAAATAGATGCATTGAACGAGAACATCATTTATGTGAAAGAAAGATTATTTGATGTACACTTGTGATAATAAATGATTCCGCTTATTTTGTTTCATAATATGATAATTTAATATAATATTACAATATACAAGTGAATTTTTTAGTTGAAACTTTTATTTATTGTTTAATGTGTTTACGACATATCTCACTTTGCTGAAGATATAATACTAAATACGACAGGAAAACTACGAATGATATACAATAGAAGCAGGCGCTCACCAAGTGCGAAGTACAGTTCGCGATCCGTCTGAGGGGAGCAATGGTACGATGTCAAAATAAACGCGTCGAGAAACATCATGCATCTCGTCTAGCGATCTCTCAGCGCGTGGGAGTGCCGTCGACACGATTGCGCAACACATAGCGCGACCATAAATTACACATTCGCGTCTAGTCTGAGAAAAACAAAAAAGAAAAACGACGACCCTTGGGGGCGTGTTACAATGCAAATTGCATCACAAGCGTCTCGGAATTTTCAATAATTTATTTTCTATGTACTCTCTTGCGCTCTTTACAATTCCGATCGACGTTTGGATTTGCCGCATAATCAGCGTGGGTGGGTTCAACCATCGACGTACGTGTCCGTACAAATCTCCCATGGCAAGATCCGATGCTTCGATAATTATTGACGCTCCGACGCGTAGATAGGAGCGTCGAACCTTTAAGGATGGTAGGTTGGATAACCTTCGAAATTAACTATTGTTTGCTGCATTCCAAATTGTATATTTTTAAGACTTCCGAGAAGATTCGCTCTATGACACGGATCTGATTGGATTGTTAAAAGAAAACATGTGAGTTTCGCGAGGATCGATGTTAGTTTGGAATCTTGCAACATTTCAATAAAATATTAGAATATTACGTTATTTTACTAATCATAAAGGAATAAGCCACTAGGTATTTATTAGTCTATTTGAATTGAATGCTACGCGATTCGGTTAAATAATTTGATTGTAATTAATCATTATATGGACCCTCCTCAAAGACAATACAGTAGCAAAGAAAAAAGTCTCAAATTTCTCGCGAATATCACTGTCCGTGCCTCGAACAAATCGACTAAATTGTAACTGGAGATGCATAGAACAGTCGAGATATTTGACTGCTGGGGAAGCGTCGATCGGATTCTGAAATTGATCCCCGAAATCGAATGCTACAATGAAAAGATTACTACTACTGCGGCTTGCGGATCTATATCGGAAAAAGGGTGAGATCAAAAGTAAAAATATTGTATTACTATTTACGTGAAACGCCATGAGAAAGTTGGTCATGGTGGGATCTAATAAGATTTAAAAAAATAGCGGGAACGCATAGCCGAATCAAAAATCTCAAAAATACTTGTAGGAATACTTGTATTTCTTGGCTACAATATCGTTCATAAGTGTCAAGTTGACAATCGGAATGGAGTTTCTACGTTGATATTTCTCTGATTTTAGGACTTATCGATATCATTTGTTATGCAGATACTTATCTGTTTTGTCCGATTATTATAAAATTTATTGACGAAAGTACAATTGGTAATTAGATGAGCACCGAAAGCTTTTAGTCGTCTGAAAAAAATACGCCGCAGTAGAAAAGTAGTGGGTCCTACTGAGAAAAATTTCCATTGAATCAGACTTCCTTTAGAGAAAAAATGCCAGCAATCAAAATGGTCGTGTACAGTGAGGCCTCTCGACATTGCTAAACGAGAGCTAACGAGGCGCACGCGTCTATGACCATCATCGTGCATCACGGTATAGTGCAATCAGAGAGGACAGGAGAGAGGCAGAGTGCGCACCAAACAACAATTTGATTCGCCGAGTAGCGGCATTATTTATTTCGGTACGTCTAGACGTCAGATTGTCTCTCTCGGCCGATAGCCGCAGACATGACGTCAGCTCCCATATAACGCATTGCCCGGGAGCGTAGTCGCTCTGACTGCGTTGCGTGGACTTTTAGGTCAAATTGCGCGCGCGCGCGCGCGCATGTGTTTTACGAGCGGCAAATTGCGGCCGCGACGTCACTTGTTGCTGCTTTCTTATGCAGTTCGTCATTAAGCAGTAACCAGCAGAAAGCGAGACCCCTTCGAGA